CTCTTCTGGGGATGAGGAAGGCAATATTATATCTAGACCTCGACTTTTTGCGCCTATTAATATATTTTGTTTCAATATTACCACAGAGCACACAGTAGCAACCTGCGAAATTTCTTTCTGAATGAGAAAATGCAATCGCTGGAACAAGAAATACATTTGCCTGACGTTTCGAATTCTGGTATGAACACATGATCAAAGAAAATCGCAGAAAAGGGTGATAAAGGTACATTTTGTGTGATATTTATAGTCCGCAGCGGTCAAGCGACCACATGCGTAATTAAATTAGCAACTCCTGTGACCATCACCCTGGGGTCTTGGTTTCAGCAATCAAACCTAACTCGCCTAGCAGAAGTCAGGGAAAGTAAAAACGTGAAATATGTTGGTTACAAAGAACTGATTAAAAGGCAAAATAGCGACTTTTTAATCGATTTACAGTGTGTGATGACGAACAGATTCAAAATGATAGCTGTAAACGTTCAGCACAGTGTTAAAAAAGGACAGCCAAAATTGGTCAACCAATCGGCTCGTAGTCTATTGCACGACAACGCTAAACCATACGCTACACAAAGAACAATGGCAAAACTACGGGATTTGGAGTTGAAAATTATGCATCATGCTCATAAGATCTTTCCCTAACTGACTAAAACGTCCTCCGGAATTCGTATGTCATTAATAGGAAAACTATTTAACTGCGACAATACTGTAAAACAAGCATTCCAAGTTTTCATTGCTTAACGATTAGCAAGCGATTACAGCGCGGACTGAACAAGATATCTTTGAAATAACAAACGTCTATCGATAATATGGATGCCCAATTTTATTAATAAAATTGTTCACTATATTCATGGGAAATTTTTTCTACAAATTTAATACTTGACGGCCCACTACTACGAATCTAAAGCAGTGGCGAAATGTAACAGCTATATAAGTCTCAACCGTTACTTTAGAGGACAGAACTTGACGATTTGTTGACTTACTTGTGTTAAATCTGGTGGTCTCATTTGTATTTAAACCCAGGGTAGCAAAGGGAAGACTTTACTGTAGCCAGCGCTCCAGCAAAATGAGATTCGAAGCTCTCCCGGGAGCCATGGGTTTAATCAAATTTGAATCCGTTGCTCAGTTGTCTAGAATATTGACTCTACTAAAACCGTTTCCCTTGCTAGCGTGAGTTCAAATCCCATTGAAG